GATATATAATAAATATAATTTAATTAAATAATTTAACAAAATAGTACAAATAACGAATAAGTTAATTGAAATACGCTGCAAACCAAACGTAAAAAATAATCAAGTTATTACATTTTTAATATGATTTTGTATGACTATAAACAATAAATTTAAATGTGTACATAAAATTACATTTTTAATACGATTTTGCAACTTCATATATTTTTTATAAAAAGGTAGTACATAAAAATATCAAAATTCTAACGGCAATACGAGCAAATCAAAGACTGTGGGATGAATATGTAGCTAGTATCTGGGGGGTTCATTCACTGATGACATCGGCAAGCCGACTACATTCACTGAGAAACGCACTACATTCACTGAGAGACGCGCTTGGCGTTCCATAGAAATGACCGGCGGCTCAACTTGTCGGCGGCTCAACCGGTCATATCCTAGCCTACTACTAGGCCTGCCCGGCCCCCCCGCCTTTCTAGGAGGAGGTAGACCCAGTGGTGGCGCCAGAGGGGGGCTGGGGATACAGGCCCCTCCGTCGGGGAAGACTATAAATTTTGCGTAGCTATCCTATCTGGTCCTAGGCTAGGGCTCTAGCCAAGGCCTAGGCTGGGTGCAACTGTTTTTATACCTGTTTGCTAACCCGTCGCCCACCAATATGAATAGTAGGCCTAACTAGCCTACTAATACTATGTTGAGAGGCTGATTTCAAATCAAAAATAATATTTTTTTTTGGCACACCCTAGCCTAGGGTTAGCCTAGAGGCCTAGAGCTATTGAATATGGCTAGGCCTAGGCCCCTATTACTATAATATTATTTTAGAGTGTAAACCTAGGCCATATAGGCTATGATATGGAAATGTTTTTGCCGCTTTTTATCATTTGCTAGTCCAGCTATCACGAAAGCAGTGAACTGAGATCAAATCAACCCCGCTGTACAAGTATTTGGGATCGACCAATTATAAAACATTGGGTTTGTTTCATTTTCATTATGGGGTTTAAAAATACTAACGAAATTCAATTTGTACAGTCAATATTCTTTTGTTAAAACTTGTATTTGAACACATATTTAACAGTCACATAGTACAATGTAAAGTGAACAAATGTTGAGATCTGTCTTCCCCTAGTCCACGCTTTTGTGTTGGCGGGATTGGCTTAGCCCTATGCTACACCCCTACGGAAATTTTCAAACGGTCCAGATTATAAATTGCATTTTTTTGCAGAAATATAGCCTAATTGCTGCAAGTATCTTGTCTTGGGACATTTGTTTTTTAATAAAGGTAATAAGAGCACAAAAAATCCAACTGATAACTAAATTAGGCCAAATTACACGAAGAAACTTAAGAAGTCAAACACTGCGAACACAAGTCAAGCAAACAGAAGTATGACGTCATACCAGTGAATCGGACTATCACGCTTGAGAGACTTTTTGACCCCATAAGAGGCAATCGTGGATTGGATGGATTTTATATTTTCTTATTTTCCGATAAAACTACCCAACCAATCATACTAATTTTTATATCAGCTTCAAGCTTATTATATTCCCTCCACGAATCCACTTGGGCCAATTCGAACAAAGCAAGTCTGTGAGAGAGGGAGTAAGAAACGAGCTCGGAACAGCCAAAAACCTAAAATTTCTTGAAATTCCCTATCTAAATCGGCGTGAGGAGCTGTTATAAATCGGCGTATTCCGACAAAACATTTTTTCTTCATGAAGTGGTAGATTAATATTTTTTACAACATAATCCGTCTGGGCCATTAAAAGAAAATCATAGATTTTGTATCAAAAATGTACTTTTGTGAAAAAAATCCAATGGTTCAGGTGACCTTGGAGAGCAAATTATACGTTTCCATATGCCTACCTAGGCCTACCTAGCGCCTATAAATTGGACCTAGGCTAGGCCTAGCGGCTAGTGGTAGGTTAGACTACACATTGTTAGTGTTGTAAGTAAGGCCTGCGCTAGGAAGGAATATATCCTCCATGCACCTTTTTCCAAGCACTTTTCTGCCAATTTTGAGCTAGTTTTTGAGGTATCGTCTGCGCAATTAAAAAATTTTAAAGTATGGGCACCCTCATAAAAATGAAAATTTCAGCCAAAAATAAAACCTTTTCTTTATTTTTATTGCACCCACCGCCGCCTTGAAATCTCCAAAAATAAGGTATGTACCAGACTGTAAGGTAAGGCCTGCACGGGAATATATTTTAGGCCTAGAATCCTTAAATCTGTTCATGCATTTTTGAAAATAAGGGCCAATTTCCGTGCAGATTTTCCAAAATTAGGATCTGACCTAATCTTAATATAACCAATGTATTTATGCAGTAGTTAGATTCGGTGCACTTATTTTCCAAGCTAATTTCTCCGAAATTGAGTTTGTTATCGGTGCAACAACCAATTTTACAGTATGGGATATGTATTTGCCAGGCCTATTTTCTTCCTAAATATAAATTTATATTTAACTATCCCATTAATACACTGTTTACATTCACCAATAATAAAACATGAGAGTCTAATAAACATATGCTGGAAACAGGAGTGTGTGTATATTGCTTTTAATATATAAAATACAGTATATACTTAGATGTGTCAAAACAATTATGTTCTTTTACAGAAAGGATGAAAACAAAATGATCTGGAAAAGGCAGTTTAATCGTCATATTTTGTTTTATTATAATTTTTATTTTTGTTAACTGTAGGCCTATTATCAGAAATAGGCTTTTATGTTTCAAGTGCTATACTCAAGAGAGAAAGATGTGGGATGGGCAAGTTCTGAAAATTGTATGTCTGAATTTCTTCTTCAAGAACATCAACAGATTGAAGAATGGCATCATGGGATGAATTGATGCCACCTGGAGATGAGGATCGATTCTCTGTAGTGAGCCAGCCATCTCAACATATTTCCTCACTTGCCAGGTCAAGGTACGGCTAAATGGAGTTAATAACTTAGTGGTTAAGATGCTTGCCTTCTGATTTCAGGGTTCTGGGTTCAATTCCTGTAACAGCAGGACTTTTACTCACGACTGAAAACAACTCCACTCCCTAAGCCTCATAAAGAGACACACATCACATTATTTCATTTATTTAAAAGGGTCTCTGAATATCGGCCGACATTCTAGGATACGCTGGAAGGGTCACCCTCTATAAATATGGTAAAAAAAAAATATATTTAATTATGAACTTCATCAATATATTTATCTATGTTTTGTTTAACAAAGCCTATAAAATACACCAGCCTGTGTTTGTACTTTGGACCGGTACTGTACAGAAGGAATCTATATAATATATAGATTCTTTCTGTACAGTACCGGTACAGTACACTAAATATTATTAAGTGTTTGTCATTTTTAAAAATTATTTCAATCCAGAAGGTTGGGGTGTAGATTGCATGTGTACTGTAAAAATTGCAATTAAAAAAATAAGTATAATATATTATATAGGTTGTTGGCTTTAAGAATAATACTACTGTAAAACTACATTGATTTGTTTAGTTTCAGGGTAACAGTAGATCGCCCACCCTCCACACCATCTCTACAGGATATAACGGAGAACATTGATATTACTGATTCCCAACTTATTTCAAGGTCAAGGTTCAACAAATCCTCAAGTAGGTGTCAGTATTTGTACAAAAAAAAAAAGATTTATATTGTTCATAATAAAATAACTATTATTCTTCACGTAAACTAATCAGTGCCGCAGTTTCACATTGGTGTAGCTTACCGCCATAGTCTGTAATAAAATATGAAATCAATACAAATTTGGTTGAAACATGGCAAAACAGGTGTATTAATTTTAAAACCTTGGTAAATTGATTACCAGTAACTGAAGGGCACTTATGAAAAAGAATATTCAAGTGTATAATCTGTACATCTGTTGAGAGTGGTAAGGAAAATATTTCCTTGTTTTAAATGACAATTGACAACAATACTTAGGAAATGAAAGTGTATCATAGCTTTTGAATTATACAAAACAGATTGATTTTGTCTAGATGTACTGTATTTCTACAAACCGAAAGGTCCACTGATTAATCTCAGATAAGATAGTATAATACATACTCCAAGTATCAAAATCCACGCCATCGTGTCGGGATTCAATATTTCGACATTAATTATGTCATCATCAGAAATGAATGTATTTCTACAGTAAATAGTTAAACAATTAAATTGTATGTGTGAGCACATTAGCTCATCATATAGACAGGGATAAAGATCAACTTTTCCTTCTTGTAAAGAATGATAATAAATAAATAAATTAGTATCAGTTATTTAAATCTTTCTTTTCTATCTACTTTTTTTTTAAATTGTAGCAGGATTGACAAACCTTTTGCAGTCTGGTACCTTCAGCCAATCACAGCAAACGTATCTGAATCAATTGACGCCTTTGAACATTAACCAATCACAGGCAGCATATTTAAGTTCATCATCAGAATCATTAGATTTTGATTTTGGTGAAGCTGCATTACCAAGTCAAAGGTAATTTTATAGTTGTTTCTTTCACTAAAAAAGCGATGTTGGTGCTGGTGATGATGATGTTGGTTGCTGTGTTAGTTGTAGTGGTAGTTGCAATGTTAGTGACGATGGACAAGGATGATATTGGTTGTGGTGGTAGTTGAGTGGTAGTTGCAATGTTAGTGACGATTGGTAATGAAGATATTGGTTGAGGTTGTAGTGGTAGTGACAATATTGTGATGATTGGTAATGAAGATTTTGGTTGAGGTGGTAGTTTTAGTGACAATGTTAGTGACGATGGGTATTGATGATGTTGGTTGTTGTGGTACTTGCAGTGATAGTGCCTACAGTATGTTGTGACAATGGGTATTGATTATGTTGGTTGTAGTAGTAGTGACAATGTTAGTGACAATAGTATTGATGATGTTCGTTGTAGTGTTAGTTGTAGTGGTAGTGACTATGTTAGTGACATGATATTGGTGATTCTGGTTGTGGTGGTAGTGACAATGTTAGAGATGATGGGTATTGATTATGTTGGTTGTAGTAGTAGTGACAATGTTAGTGACAATAGTATTGATGATGCTGGTTTTGGTGGTAGTGGTAGTGACAATATTAGAGACGATGGGCAATGATGATGTTCGTTGTAGTGTTAGTTGTAGTGGTTATAGTGACAATGTTAGTGACATGATATTGGTGATTCTGGTTGTGGTGGTAGTGACAATGTTAAGAGATGATGGGTATTGATTATGTTGGTTGTAGTTTTTGTGACAATGTTAGTGACAATGGGTATTGATGATGCTGGTTTTATTGGTAGTGACAATGTTAGAGACGATGGGTCATGATGATGATGTTGGTTGATGTGGTGGTGGTTGTATTGGTAGTGGAGTCCAGGGATGAAAACCTAAGCAAGAATAATCTAATGATAATATATATAGCTAGGCTCTGAATTATATTAAAATACACAAATTTCATTTAATTTTGAATACTAACCTAGGCATGATACAAGAACCGTTCCTGCCTTGGAAGTACCGCAGTCAAGCCAACCGAGGATGCCTAGTTACACTCCAAGAATCATAAGCCAAACACCAACACCTCTAACTTTCAAACGTAAGATTTTGTACATGTTATCTAAAGCCTTAAACTATTTAATAATAGTGTGCAAAATATTGATTTAATAATAATATTCATACCAGAACAATGGTCTCTTATAAACCATGCTAGTAAACTTTGTGTACACTATCATAGTTTATGGCAAAATTTGTAAATGCCCATATTTGGGTGTAATGTGACATCATCATGCTTATATATAGGCACACCATATTAAATTGTCACAGATAATTTGAGAGTGTGGACATAGCTTAACTATGGCCTAATCAGTTAGGTGGCTATATTTTTTAAACACCTGCTGGTGCCACCACAGTCTATTTGCAAAATTCTTTTCTTGTTTTCCAGGCAAAGCCAGTGAGAATGACAGTGAGGCAAATTCTCAGATGGTCCTAAGGCAAGTGGCTGAGTTGCGTATCCTTTACTAACAGATTCCACCCAGGCACTCTGGGAAGAGGTTTTTTTTTTACTTTATGTTATCATAGAAGAAAGGTTAATGTTAAGAGTCTATGCATTCTATAAAGCACTTTATTGCAAAGCATTAAAGGGTAATTCATGTTATATTAATATTATTGATATGGTACTGTACTACAACATAGATAATTTACAGTCTGACTCGTTTAACATTTAAGCACCGCTTGTTTTCCTTAATCATCATTACTTAGCTGAGAAATACAGACATATATTTTCTTTCCCATATTTCAATGCAGTACAGTCAGCTGTGATGGATGATGTGAGTTTTTTTTAACCTTTTTTTTTACCAGTTCAAGTTCAACTTTATTTATCCATGGGGGCCCAGGTCAACACAGGGTTCATTTTCCCTGTGGCTGTGCACAAGAATACAAAATATACAATAATTACAATAAAATACAATATATAAAAAGTTATAAAAATATTTTGAACAGCAAGGTCAAATCAGAAATTGAATATGTGAAATAATGTTTAGAGTTGACATAATATGAATTTAAAGGAACGCAATGTTATTGTTGTTTATTGTTATTGTTATTGGCACTTGTTAATATATTTAAATATACATCTTGCTAAGAAAATATTTATTTGTACTACTAGGACGAAAGCTCAAATAAGTTCTTCAAAAATATTTATTATTTCTATAAATTCATTAGATTCCCTATTTACACATTGTTTTTGTATCAAAATTTGCCTAGGTAAAGGTAGGAGAATAACCCATAACTTGTGCTGAATTTCGTATGGCGTGGTCCGTGACTACCTAACAGTCGTAAAGAGGGGCTTCGTGATAGCTATAAGTTCACATCATTCCACAACGACAGGGGCTGAAATGAACCATCACATCGGGGTAACCCCCTACTCTTCCGAAAGATGCAATGGGTTCTTTAAAGTGCACACGAGCCAGCGCACAACATCTAAATTATGCAGAAGAATTTAATTTATTATTAAAGACTATCTATGATAACCTAGATGGTTAATACAGTAGAACCCCTCCTTTGGGACACCCCTATTGATGGGGCTGGGATTGGACACTTTTTTGGAGGCGAAGTGAGATAAATGTATCTTTTAACACTACCGTCAACCCCTATTCAGGGGACCGCACCTATTGAGGGATACTCTCTGCTAACCTCTGTCTTAAGAATTAAGTTTGACTAAAATACATTTTTTTCTTTGTAGGCTGTGTTTAGTGATAAATCTCTTGTTGTATCTGCGCCGACTGGGTCTGGGAAGACTGCTGTATTTGAGTTGGCCATCATACGACTACTGAGTTTTGGAAACCTCTCCTCATTCAAGATAGTCTACAGTGAGTTGTCAATATTTTTACATTTTAAAAATAAATTATATTTCTTTTTATTTCATAATAAATCCTAACAGGGCTGTTGACTTTTAATAATAGTAAAATAATGTAGTGATATTCAAAGTAGTTTATAAAATTCAATCCACGTTTATAAATAAGATGTGAAATTAAGAAAAAAAAATTGATATTTATCAATAGTTTCATCAAAATTTCAACAATGAAATTGAACTATTGACAAATCATTCAACTTAGAACTGAATAAATAATAAATAAGAAAGTAAAGATAATTCATGCTACACTAATTTTAATATTTAAGTTTTAACATTACAAAAATATATAAAAAGAACTTGATATTGTTAATGTTCATTTGATTGTAGTGGCACCGATCAAAGCATTGTGCACAGAGCGTTGTAATGATTGGCAGGCCAAGTTTGGACCACTGGACATCAAGTGCTCTGAATTGACAGGCGATACTGAAGATGAAGATTGTAATCAGTTGCAGAATGCATCAATCATTCTGACAACACCAGTCAGTTTTAACAAATTATTTCATTGCAATTAACAGGCTAATGGCTACGAGAGAAAAAATTTAAGAAAAATTTTGGTATATGGGTCGGGGATTGTCAAATAACAATTTTAATCGCTGAGTCATATAATTGGGAGTCTCTTAACAGTGGGATATTTACAGTAGGAGCCGGTATGCGGCACACACCCCCTCCCCCCCTCCCCAAAAAAATTGTGAGCCTTCTCACTTAATTATTGAGCTGCCCTCACTTTGCATTGAACCCAGGACCCTGTGATGGTAAGGCAAGCATCTTAACCACCAAACTACAGCTCTGTACACCATTAAGGCTAATCCTTCATGGTACTGTAACACTAAATTGCAAGACCCTGTTTATAGTCTACTTAGTAGTTGCCTCAGTTTGTGCATTCTGGTTACATTATTACTATATTACTTTCTAATTTTGTGAAATTTTTATATTGCAGGAAAAATGGGATAGTATGTCGAGGAAATGGCGAGACAACAAGTCATTTGTTAAGCTGGTCAGGCTTTTCCTGATAGATGAGGTCAGAATACGATTCATTGTCTAAATTGTTTCTTTGATATAAAACTCAGAGGTGCCAAGTTGGAAGAACTTGAAATAGAGGATACCCAGGAAGGACTTTCACAGATGTAGGGTCTACACCACCTCAGCCCTAACATGGTTGGGGCTGAGGTAAGTAAATTTATGATTATGTACCTCTAGATGACCTGAAATGGCACTCTAAAACTTAAATTTGAATATAATTTTTTTTTCTCCATTCTTTAATAATTTTGAATCTGCTACTGATCTGGTTAATGAGCTTTCTTAATAAGTTAGTTTATTTTGCTGCACATTTTGATACCCATGGGCACATTTTGATACCCATTGGCACTGACTTCCTTGAGACAATTGATAATTAAGCAGTGGAGATGGGTAAAGTATCTGGGAGGTTCTTGCTTGCTTGAGGGAGTGTGCGGTTGGCCGTCTCAATTTGCGGCAGACTTGGACCCCTGACAACTGAAGGCAATCTCTTCATTTTGGTCTCTTCCGTATTTACCAGGTACATTCAGTGAACGATGACACACGTGGGCCAACTGTAGAAGCCGTGATTAGTCGCATGAAAACAGTAAAAGCAACCACTTGTCCATCATCAGGTCAAGACCCTAAGCTACGCTTTGTGGCTGTGTCCGCTACTATACCAAACATTGAGGATGTGAGTCAGTACCCTACTGCATTGTAGCATTTTAATAGTGTTTGGTATTGACAGGTCTAAGCATCATGGAAAAGATTGAGATGACAGAAATGGTGGTGGTAGCAATGATAGTGATGGTGGCTGTGTGTTTATGTTGTTGATTTTGACAGTAATTATGCTGCTGATATTGAAAGGGTCGATATAAAAGGTGCATTACGGGGACCTCGCCTAATGATGTTTTCCATGTCTTGTGATTTAAATTTTAGTTTAAATTTTACTAGTGATGACGCTTGGTGGATATCTGGTGGTGATGATGATAATGATAATGATAAATGACAATGATGATGATGATAACAAATTATATATTAATATTGTTGTTTTTGCAGCTTTCTAGATGGATAGGTGACTCCAAATGTCCAGCAATTTATCACAAGTAAATGCCGTACAATTTTTATTTTACATCAAATTATATAACAAACACTGTTATTAACAAAAATTGTATTTTGCTTCTAGGAATAAAGACTTTTAGGCCAATAATGTATGAAAAAATTTATACTAAGGAAAACTGAAGAATTGTTTTGTTGGGTTTTGTAATAAATAAAGTTTTCCTCTATGGTTTATTATAGGTTTGATGAAGGGTACAGGCCAGTGCCCCTTAAGAAGGTTGTGCATGGATTTTGGTGTAGTGAAAAGTGTTCACCTTACAAGTTTGATCTTACCCTTAACTACCAATTATGGAAAATGATCTCGCAATATGCGAACCAGAAACCAACTCTGGTGGTAAGTCAGATGCTTTGATGGTGGTGGTAAATCTAGAAAAAAAAATCTCCTCAAGCATGCAATGATTGTGTTAATTGCTCATTTAAATTATTAAAATGTTATAAACTTCCAATAAGACAAAAGTTGAAACAAATCTGTATTTTTTGATGATTTACTATGAAAATCCTATTTAAGTGTCTGTTACTTGGCGAGCAATTATTTTTCATTCTTATTTTTTAAATGAAATCTAATAAAAAGTTTTCAAATATAGTTAGCCCAATGCAGAGAGTAGCAGATACAAAATAACATTTTTATGAACATTTTTTGATAGTTTAACACCATTGTTTATGCCCATAGTTCTGTTCAACCCGTAAGGGAGTACAGTTAGCAGCAAATGAGTTGGCTAAGAACTCTCACCGCTGGAATTCTACCCCTCTAAACACTCTACGCAATGAATCAACTATCTTCAAGGAGGCCAAGTTAAGAGGTATGTTTCATATCTATTGTTGCTGACATTAGGTACTTGATCTGATAGACACTTTTCTGTGCCGGATTTGACCTTGAGACTTTTGATGTTATATTCACCATTGTAGACAGTGTGTTGGGTCCAGAAATTCAACATACCGGGGGCTTTGGGTGGGAATGTTATAGATGGAGTGCATACCTCAGCCGCACTTTTATGTCTATAATGTCTCTAGATGGTCAAAAATGGCAATTTCTTTTTCCCCCATTTTTTAATTCAAAAAGAATTAAAGGAATGGGGGGGGGAAGTGTGGGGGAGGTGGTTGGTAGGTTGCCTCCTTGAATCTGCCCCTGATACACCAACACAGCCATCATACTAGATAGCTAAGAGTGGTAGTCTTAAGTAAAAAATGTTTGTAGACACTAATTACGAATAATAAGAATTAATTTCAGATCTAGTGAGCAAAGGTGTTGGCTACCACCATGCCGGTATGGACCGTGATGACCGTATGAACATTCAGAATCTTTTCCTACAAGGAAAGTTACCAGTGCTAAGTAAGTATAAATACTTACTTACAGTTAATCAGTCAATCAATCATGATAACATGTTGATGATATTCATTGTCATGGTGATGATTATGATCATATGCAAAAGTTCCTACAAATTCTAGTCAAATTTGGAAGTTAAAATTCAAAATGATCTTTAAGTCATAAATGTTTTTCAATTTTTATGTTACGTATCTATCATTAGAGAACGTGCCACCACCTCCATTCACTGAGTAGTATTTCTAGTTTGCAGTGCCATTCAGGGCTACCAATACCTTTTGGAATCATTTCCTTCTATTAGGTACCAATTTATTCTCCTGGATTAAGAGAGGCAATAGTAGAAAAAGTGTCTTGCCTAAGGACACAAGCATTTTGACCAGTGTTGGTTTCGAACCCACAACCTTGAAATAGTAAGCCTGTTGCCCTACCCCTTTACCACATTCTTTCACAGTGGAGGTGGTTCCATGATAGAGGTGGTTACACCATGCCAAATAGAAACAATCACTCAAATGTTGTTTTTTTTTAAATTTTTAACCAGTGGCAACCAGTACTCTAGCATTTGGTGTGAACTTACCCGCTCATCTTGTGATCATCAAATCAACCCAGTACTATGTGTCAGGCCAGTATACAGAGTACAGTGAGACGCAGGTTATACAGATGATGGGACGGGCAGGCAGGCCTCAGTTTGACACATCAGCTACTGTAGTTATCATGACTAGGAACCAGACAAAGGTAAGACCACTAAGGCCGGGCACTCGAGCTGCATCGTACTCGACTATCCAACTCCACTCCCTGTTAACGCTAGACGCCGCAGCGCTGTCTCCTGATTGTCAGTGATAGTCTGAATGGACCCTCATTAAAAACAATCCTTTGACCCTGTGTCATGGCGTTGCATTCTCCATAGAATACCATCGGCCAACGGCCGCCGGGCAGTCATTGCCCCGCTTTAAATTATGAGGAGTAAGTTTATAGGTTCCAAGAATTTGCACTACACAACTCAACTGTCCATTTTGAGGTGGTGCGTTTATACACAATGTTAACAAGCAACCATAAAATTGTGGTCTAAGCAACAATAAACATAATTGCTGAAAAATATGATAGTTATAAAGTGGTTCTTTTTTTATTGCATGTAGCACTGAAAATATTTTTTTGTTGTATTTTAGGCCAAATATGAGAACTTAACGGCTGGTAAGAAAAACCTGGAAAGCAGGTAAGCTTGCAGATATGAAAAAACCATTTCATTTTTTTTGCCATGTACAATTGCATTAAAAAAACAAAAAAAACATGTTCAAGTGTTGCTTATTAGAATAATTCTGTTGCCCTTACAGCCTGCATAACCATCTTATTGAGTATCTAAATGCTGAGATTGTTCTGCGTACAATTAATGATACAAGCATCGCAGTTGAGTGGCTTAAGTCAACGCTTCTCTATGTTCGCATTCTGAAGAATCCCACTCACTATGGTATCCGTGCCAGTGCTTCTGAAGATGACATTGAAAAACATCTGATGGGTAGGTCAGGATTCTTACCACGGTGGTCGGCGGTTGTCGGGCCCGTCCAGTACTCAACATTTCCGACCAGTATTTTTAGATTGCCGACCACCACTATTTTTGCAATTGATAATGGAAAAAAACGTAGGCTAACAAAATACTTTCGTTACACGACTACCAGAGTAGGGAGTTGTTGATTAACCTGATTTTGTCAGTCGGTGGGTGGGGGAGGTTTTGATGTCGGCGACCACATCCCCTGGGGTGCGGGTGGTTGCCGACCACCACTCTAAAATGCTGGTGAGAACCCTGGTAGGTTCTAAAATGTGCCTTTTAGCTTCTTTTTGAGAATTTTTTTTTTTTTACTGTATTTATAGAAGGTTGGCTGATATTCAGTGCCTTCTTAAATAAATGAAATAATGTGATGCTTTATAAACCTAAATCTCATTACAAGGCTTAGGTAGTGGATAAAAAATCCTGGTTAGTCACAGGATTTGAACCCAAAACCCTGGGATATGAAGGCAAGCATCTTAACCACCAAGCTGCATTTCCACTAGATTACTGTAGTTGGTTGATTGATTATGTGATTTATTGTGTGGTTTACTGGTTGGTTGGTTGATGGTTTATAAAGGGATTCCTTAGAGGGCTACATGCATCACTTTTCATTAGTATTTGCTTCTTCCATCAGATATCTGTGTAAGTGACTTAAACCGGCTGTCAAGTATTGGTGCAATCAGTATGGGTGAAGAGGGATTTGACATCAAACCAACAGGTAAAATAAATTAATTAAATTACTTATTAAGGGGAATGGGCATTTGGAGTACGAGCAGCATCACCATCAATAACAGAATAAATCTGAGAATGTTTACATTTTAAAAAGTAATGGATGAACATGAATAACTATATATTATATAAGTTATGTTATGTCTACATGTTTTTGTATACAGTACCTTATATATTTTTGTGAATAATTTATAGTGGACAAGTTGAATACTGATTGTAACTCTAATAAGTGGGAATAATCTTTTTCAATATTAAGAAACATTGTATTCAATTGGCAATTTTATTATTTTTTTATATTAATATTTCAAAATAAATGAGGAATCACCATTTTCTACAGTACATTAATTAGCATATTATTAATAATAACACCTGTTCTGCTGTAGATATTGGTCAGTTAATGGCACGATACTGCATTGCATATGATACAATGAAGAAGTTTTGCAGTGTCAACGTAGACATAGACCTTGAGGAAATGGTAAGTGTAATAATAATTTTGAATAATTGTATCATTAAGAACTGCATACCTCCGTCCTGTACCTAAATGCCAAATAATAAAAAAGTAGGAAAAACGGAGGACATTTTACTTTTCATGGTCTAGTCCTTGACCTTTCACCAAAATATTTAATGACCTCTACTTTAGGCCACTGTACAGCTCCAGTAAGATTTATGATGATCCATTCATTAGTTTTTGTATAATCCTTATTAATGATTAATGTTTTTATGAAGTGATTTTTTGTGACCTTGACCTTTGAATTCTCACCTCCAAATTTATCACCTCTTCCTTAAACCCATATTTACCACTCCACTATTATAATCTATTAGTTAGTTTTTGCACAACTACAGTCAAACCAACCAGTAAGTATTAGCAAATATATTTTTGGTTTTTGTCTCAAAGTTTTTTATTTATTTATTTTTAAGGTAAACCTTTTATCATCCTGTCATGAATTTGCTGACATTAAACTTCGCATGAATGAGCGCCGCTTGTTGAACACACTGAACAAGGATCCTAACCATATCACCGTTCGGTTCCCACATACAGGCAAAATCAAGTCAACACAGCTTAAGGTAAACTGGTAAGTAACCAGCTAGTAAGCTAGTATTCCTTTTATTTCAGTATTGTTCTTTTAGTCAGCAGTAGAATTTTATTGGGAGTGGACAACCAGCATGGAGGCAAAAGATTTTGAGCTATTAAACTTGAAAAATAAAAATAATTATTTAATGTGCTTACCTTTTGTGTACAGTTATGTATACAAGTCAAATACAAAATGGCACTGAAAAATTGTTTGACTTAGATAAAATTTGACTTACATAAAATTTGACTTACATATAGTTAATTAATGGAAAACACAACAATTTGGCATGTAAAATAAGATCGACTTAGAAATGAGTTAGGCAAAATTGAGTGAGACAAGTTTAACTGTATTTACTTAAATTAAAGTTAGAACAAGATATGATATATTTTCTTTGTCAATACATAAAAAATACTGTTCCTAAATTTATTTTAGATATTCTATAATAAGTATATCTTTCAGTTGGACTGATTATGTTAAAGAAATATTAAGAATAATACAATAATTAATAAATTGTTTTTTCCATCATAGCCTCATTCAGGCCACACTTGGTTGCTTACCAATTCAAGAATTTTCCCTGCAACAGGATGTGATGAAGATATTCAGAGTTGGGGCACGTGTCTCTAGATGTAAGTTCAACTATTATTGATAATAGTTATACATAATAAAAATGTGTATGCAAGTCTTATAGGGTGTAATGCCAAGTCCTCTGTACACTTCACATTATTACCCCATAAACGCACAGGGAGCACAGAGCTCATTGTGAGATGTAATGTAGTTATTCTCAATGTTTCTCTTTTAATTTTAATTTTTTTCAAATAATGTTAGGCCTATACATTATTTTTATTCTCCATATTGTGCAGTGGTTTCGTATATTGATTTATTATTCTCCTTAGTTCTTTTGTTAAGACTTTTTGATGTTTTACATAATTCGCAATTCAGCCTCTTGGCTGGCATGTTTTATGTTTTGTATTATGAATTTTGATTAAATAACTACCATTATATATGAGAGAGCATAATGTTGCAGTTAACAATTACCATGTTGGTATTGCAACCTATCAGGTTGTGGAGAGACAATTTGCATACCGTATAGTGTCTTGCCAAAGATATTAGAGAGCTTTTGATTTACGCGACAGATTCCCTCATTCCTGATCATCCTACGTTCTCTGCACAAAGTAGATTCGTCGTCCAAATTGCATCTTAGAATCTACGAGACAATGACAACTTAACGTTGTTGCAGGTGGACATGACTTCTTTGTGACTTCATTACGTTTTTGGGCTACCGTCATTGTACAATTGAAAGTTCCCTATTAATGCTACTGATGATTGGTAATTGAATGCTATAAGAATAAATACACTGAAAAGAAGATATGCTTGAATTGAACACACTTGAATACCATGATACAAAAGGGCACATGTTTTTTTCTCTTTTCTTTTCTCTGCATATGTAATGTAATAAAATACTGTATGTCCCTAGGGCTGTATGTGAACATTTAAGTATCCTGTTATTGTCTTGGAAGATTTTGACCAGTACCCTTCGGATTGAAAGGCATTTAACCACTATAGGAGTGAATTAAAAACCACATTTTGTTTTTCTACCCTTAGGCTTGTATGAATTCCTACAGCTCAGAGGTAACTGCAAGTCCCTCCTAAATGCTGCCTACATGGCTAAATGCTTCAAGGCTAGGCTGTGGGAAAATAGTAGGTATGTAAGTCGGCAAATTGAGAGGATAGGCTCAAGCCTATCCACCGCCCTAGTGAATGCAGGCATTGGAAGCTTCAGTAAATTACTAGAGACCAACCCTAGACAGTTAGAACTGGTAAGTGATTAAAGAAAAAAAGGTATTTGAAAAATTATTGAAAACTTAATTAAATATGTAGTTAATTATTTTTTCTTCCATAATATATTAAATCATTCATAAAGATATACTGTATTATTCAAAATAATTACACTTGCAGTAAAAAACTGAATTGTTACCATTTTACAGATAAAATAGAAATTAAAGGCATGAGAATAAAATCTGAACTACTTTTGGATGGACAGTAAAAACATCAAATCTTAAGTAATATAAAACCGATACAAGAAAAATACAAGACATGCAAATAAAAAATGTTTTTAAAACAAGACAAAGGATTAACTATAATTAGATATAAAAAGATTACCATAAAAAGTCATACAAGGACAAAAATATATATTTAAATACATATATATTGATGCATTATCAACTAGACTTATTGAAATTATTGAATATACATTCATTGAAGAGCACTGTGTTTTACTGATTCTGTTTGATTTGTGGGACTCAATTGATATATTTAGAATGATTTATTAAAGATGAATTTATTGAATATAAATTCTCATCTTCTTTTGCTTTCAGTCTAGCAAACATGAAAGATTCTCAGCTGAAATTAGGGTTACAGTCTGCCTGGAAAACAGGGAACAGTTACTGCAGAAACAAACAACAAATGGCTTTCATTGCTCTTTGCTTCTCATTGGTAATGCAGATGATGAAATCATTTTGAAGAAGAAAATAATGTATGTATAATAATAAATTATATGTATACAGATATCTGTGATAATGCATATAATATAGGCATGCATGCTAATCCATTAATACCTACAAGTAGAAATGCTTTGAACTCCTTTGATTGTCATTAATTTTTCTTGTCATGTGAATTATTTGCATTGATTAACTTTCTCATCATTAGTTCAATATACTCTTAATTAGTCACCAGTAGATTAAAAACAATTGATAACCGTCCTGACCATCCCTCCCTTCATCTGTCTGTATGCTATTCTCTTGGCATTAGTGACGATGTAAATCTACAGTAGGTGTCTTTCGTCTTACACTTTTTTGAATGATGTCATTCATGTATACCTCAAGCCAAACTCTTTACATTATTCTTCATCTATATCTTATTCAATCTTTTCTGACATTGATACTAATATTAACTACGGGCTAACCTAAAATGATGATATTAACACATGTGACTACCACTTTAACATCCATACTCATAACTGCTATGTATAACCAAGGACTTTAACTATTACCAGGATAGGAAGCTGGCTGGTTTAAGCCGTCTAACTTGAATTAGCCTTATGTGCGGTATTGTTATGCTAATGAGCCAGATAAGTACAATCTGCACATGCTCAGAAAAACAAAACTTTCCCTAGTCACTGCGGCCCGCACTGCGTATCGGCTTGGCTTTTTTGGCTAGCCTAGGCCATGTCTAACCGCTTATAAAAATGCAGAAAAAAGACCCAAAACAAATTAGAATGAAGTTATCAACTAACTAGTGCATTAAAATTTTTCATATACTTAATACTTACTTAAATAAAATTAAAATGTATTGCTCACAAACGCCAATTTTTGATTTTAATACGCCTTTTCTTTGTTTACCGTACCATAATCCTTGGCAGGCCTAGCTGTACGTCTAGCCGATACGCAGTGCTGGCTGCAGTGTGGCAAAGGGAAGTTTTGTTATTCTGAGCATGTGCAGATTGTGCTTGTCTGGCTCATTAGCAATAACAATACCACACATAAGGCTAATTCAAGTTAGACGGCTTTAAACCAGCCAGCTTCCTATCCTGGTAACAGTTATAAGTCCTTGGTATAACCTGTGTGCATTCATTGTCTGTGTTCACATCACTTTGTCTGTATCATTGTAAAGGGACACAACGTTACTAAACAGTATTGTGTGGAGTAGGACACTAACACTGCAACGAGCAAAAAATGGGGATGATATCACAGTCAGTTACATTAGTCAAGAATATGGTGAGTGTTTGTTTCTAGAGTTATTTGGAATAATTACGGCTAGCTGGTTTGGATTCCCGGCTGGTGCGGCTATTGTACTGCTCTCTTAGAAAGAATTCATATACATGAAACGATAGGTAAAATGATTTATGTAATAATCTATGTCATATTAACAAATATGAAAGTTGATAAAGGGAAAAACTCTTTAATAATATCTATTCTGTTGTGGTTTGATTTAGTGGCAAATCCAACTCTGTTGGTTGTTTAAAGTTGTTCAGAAATGCTTGACCACAGACATGGTATATGGAATATTGAATAATAGCTTGTTTGGAATACTGTGCTTTCCTGTTTTTTTTCTCTTTTCTTCTCTCTTTTTTCCCTTTTTTTTTTGAGGGAAGGGGTATGTAGCCCATTTTTCCCTGGATCTGCCCCTTTTTTTTCGAGGTATATGAATAAATGATTAAAAATTTCATTCTATACTGATATCCATTTATTTTGCAGTTGGCTTGGACGTACACCTGAATCTTACCATAAAATACACAGATCCCCGATATACAACTAATTCCAAGCAAGGCAGCCAATCACAGCCCAAACTGCAAGCTTTCATGAAGTCTGTAAAACCTGTCAGAGGTATCAGTGTTAAGTCGTCAAGCCCAGAGAGCTCAGATGACATAGATTGGAGCCCTTCAGCCACACAAGGTTAGTCTTCTTAATTTTTTTTAACCACATCACGAAACCTGGTCAAGATGCGTTTCATTGGAACTCTTTCCGAACACCAGAGTTTGGGTGTATAAATGCACTCCCAACAATGTTTATGAATTTAAACTTTCACTAAAGTTCACTGTTGTATGCCATTCAGTTGTGTAAGTTCAATTCCTTCATAGGCCTGTTTGTGTTTTTGAGGGCTATAATATAAGTTTATTTGTTTATCTTATTAACTGGTTTAGGCTGACGCTAGTCCAAGGACATACCAAGCAGCAAACTTAATTATTCAAAGTGGCATATCTCTTCACAAGGCAAACATGCTATATTCGAATTTAATATTTATTGAAGTGAGACGTATAATGTTTGTTTTATAACCCTAGTATGAAGTTTGAACAGGACCATATGAAAGACAGGCTTTATCAACCACCTCATATATTTTAATCCTGTATAAATATGTTTGAAATAAAAAAAAAAAATAAATAAACATAAGATGCTCTACATAAACTCATTATGAGACTAAGGGAGTGTAGTTATATTTTGATCATATGTTTAAAACACATTAAATGTTCCACTTAAAATCTTAGATACAAGTTAACTCTGCACTTATTAAAAAGGAACCGTTAATAGATAATGTTTAATAATAGTGGTCTGTACTATATATAGGGATTTTGTCATGTAGCTGTAAATAATAAATATAATTTACACATATATATTTTGAATTGCTGTAGGAACTTGAGAAGTAGAAAAAAATGTAATATGATTGTACTTCATTGTCATTCAGGAAACACCCAGGATGCCCGGAAGGCTTGCAATCATAAGTGTGTGAACAAGCGTGCCTGTGGACATCCATGTTGCAAGAATGGTGTCGCGGTTAAACAATCCTCCAAATCAAGGCCAGAGAAGAGACAGCTGGTTATGAGTGGTACAACACCAAAGAACCAGAAGACCATGGATGCCTTCCTCAGTCAGCTTCATACAAGAGCTAATTGTATGCCGGTGGCACCACAGATAAAAAGAACACGAGTAAGAGTTAATAATTATCAAATAGGCAAAGGCAATTAGGAGCAGCAATTTCCATTCAGATTCTAAACCTTGCTATCCCTATGGTTTGTTGACCATTCTTGGCTAGCTATACTCAGACACCCTAACTTGCACTGGTAACAGAGTTGTCAAGTGGTTCACCCCTAGGTGCAAGTATTTCATGGCTTTATAGATATAAATTATTGATTATTGATGGTAACATCAGGCCTACTATACCAAAAGAAAAAAATACTGATGGGGATGTTCTATAACCTTACAAAAACTGTTATGATGAGTATGTTTCATCTTCATTATTTTCTACCTCTGCAAATTGTTTATTAGCACTTAATTGACAGCAAATATGATATCCAGTAGTAGGCATAAGTATTTAGAGAAATAATATTTTTAAATCCATTCTGAGCCTGAAGGATAACAATATTATTTGAATGTTCATGCTTAATTTATAAGTAGGAAGTTATGCAATCTTATGGAGAAAACAAATAATATAATTTAGGGTGTCATTATTTTCAGGATTTATTTATGTGATCCCATTAATTTACTGAAATTTTTCCCCAGGTGGACACTGGTAATCATGAAGGTGCTCAGAAGAGTTTGAAAAAATTCACTTTCAAGAGAAAGTCACAAATTCCTTCCTTACACTCCGCTAAACTTAGTGCCTTACAAACAGGAGATGATGCACCAACACCAAACATACCAACCATACAATTAGACAACACTATGACTGCAACTAGTTGCATCAGTGCAATGCCTAAGCCTAGAGGAATCCAAAATGCTTTGCTTACTAACACAGGTTAGTTTGTACAAATTTATCCTTCATTTACTACATCTGACAGCAATATACATCCAAATATTATTTCATTCATAGACTGTTCTAATGTAGGAACATTATTATATGCATTTGTTAATTGAGGAGAAAAATATTTTCTCTTTTTATCTATAATTTAAAGCTAAGAATTTACATAAATTTACAAAGAAAGCAATTCACATTGAATTTAAATTTATCTCATTTTTAGCTAAACACAGGAAATTTGTCTTAAAATTAATAAATATTTAAACAAATTTTAAACATTAATTGTTTTCTTGTATAGATACTCTTTTCACTGCAGGACTAGGACAGAGAGATGTAGCCTTGCATGGCACTGGGCTACCTCCGACGAGTGTATCCTTATATGGCACAGGACAAACAGATGGCAGAAGTCTAGCTCCGAGAGGTGGCAGAGGTCTAGCCCAGACGGGTGACAGAGGTCTAGCTCAGACAGTTGGCAGAGGTCTAGCTCAGAGAGACGGCAGAGATCTAACTCAGACAGACAGCAGAGATCTAGCTCAAACAGATGGCTTTGGATTAGCTCATACAGGATTAGCTTTGACAAGTAACACAGGAGGTGCAGGACTAGCTCAAGCAGGTGGCAGAGAACTAGTTCAGTCAGGTGGCACAAAAGCCAGTGGACTAGCGCAGAGAGTTGGCACAGAACTAGTTCAACCATGTGTCACACGAGACACAGGACTGGTTCAGCCAGTTGGCACAGGGTTGTCTCAGCAATGTGGAACAAGAGACACAGGACTAATTCAACCAGGTTGCACAGGACTATCTGACACAGGTGGCAGAGGACTAGTTCAGACAAGTGGTATAGGACTAGCTCAGAAAGTTGTTGCCTCACATGGTGCAGGATGCTATAATACACCTGCAAGGCGATATGGCAGTACATCAGGTTGTCCAGCCACACCAGCCAGAGGATGGGAACACTTAGATGTGTATCAACTAAACAGAAGCAAACTTCCATATCCACTGACCTGTGGTAAGTTAAGGGACATAACTGAAAATCTAGTCTACAAAAAAGAGTTATATTACATACTGTATTGTAAGCCACAGCTCTACTACATATGATTTGATTGTTGTTTTCTTCTATAGAATCTGACAATGAAGACCATTTTGATGATCTTCCGGATGTTGAAGGAATAAGTAATCTTGTTACCTCTAAATGGACCTACAACCCACCAAAAGCACAGAGGCGTTTGATACTAGATGTAGAGGAAAACAAACAAATATTAACGCCAAGTGAAAAGGTGCTTCCAACTGGACCAACAGCTCAGGAACAGCTGCTTCAGTCTTGTAATATCTTCAGAAATACCAGTTTTAAGGATTCTTCATGGTCTTTTAGCAGACAAACAAATACTACTGAAGAGATTAAGACTGCTGCACATGATGATATTCAAGTGATAGAGCAGCCTACAGATATCTTTAACGTTTCTTACTCTGACGCGGATTTTTATGCTTCTGAAGGATCTTGTTGTGGCATAACAGATGGTCTTGTGGCAGAGAGAGAGCTTTCTGAAGTGCCTAACATCCAGCTACCAATTGCTGCAGTAGGTTGTGTGACCAGAACATGTGATAGTGTTAATATGCCAGAGCAACTGCCAATCATTTTGAGTTCATCCTCTTCAGATGAGGATGTATATAATTTTGAAGGATCACCTGCATTAGCAGGTGCTTCTGGTATGGCATTGAATGAGCTTCCTTTTGAACAAAAGATGGAAAGTACCACCTTTCATCAACACATAGATGAGAATTTTAGGTAAGAATGGTCTCCCTGTGTATCCATATTAAATCATTTACATTTGACATTCTGTAGAACCTGTATCTGCAAAGTTGGTAATAGATTTTTTAGACAAATCTTACTGGAAAATAGTAATAAAATATGTGACAGCAAACAGAAATAAAATAGTGAAGAAGCTAGATGTTTGTCCTAGTTATTTATAGAAATTGGCGCTTCTTAAGTTTCAAAAATAATTTACATTTTATGATATGAGCTATGTTGTCTCTTAGACTTTGAAGCAGTATCAAAATATGAAATAGGCCTTGAAATATGACTAAAATAATATTTAAAAAATTATAGAAATTGGAAGTTTTATAAATAGTTTACATTTCATCATGTTAGCTATATTTTAATTATTATTTTGTTTAATAGGTGTAGACAATTAAGGGATTTGTTGAAGAATATATGTACAGTAAATTTAATTATTTTCAACTACGTCATAGACTTCATGATGAGGGATTTATTCACTAGAGTTAAAGTTGTACACTGCGGATGTAGGTTCAATGAATCAATAATTAAGTATTAATAAAAAAAATAGAAGTTATACAAATGATGATAATAAACAAGTATATAATCCATAATAATAATCTTTTGTCACCAGCCTGTCATTTTATATTATTGTTATGAACTTTTATTATTTTGTTATTGA